CAGGGAAGCAGAATGGGACTTTTGATAGGGGGAGAGGACACTGTAATTGAGGGAGGACAATGATGAGGTGGAGTTCTGAGGAGGGGAATCTTCACAGCAGGAGGGAGTGGGAATACGGGGAAACCAACGGGTGAGTGAGTTATGAAAAGTTGTACGGAAGCTGCTGTCTCACAACACAACTTTGAAAAAGAAGTCAAAAGATAATAGAACACACGGGAAAAGAGAAAGGAGGGAGAACACCAGGGATGAAATAGCTATGGAAGCTGTGAGTAGAGGAGAAAAGAAGGTATGGGTAAGTTAACCAACCCTAAGGATGTATGCAAAAGCCTTATGGAAACACTGATCAATGCTGAATCAGCCACCGCCAAGGCTCCAAGAGCAGGGAGCTGAATGAACAGGGAGGAACTCTGTGAAATGCTGCCCCTGGATACAGTATGGCCATCACACTCATGATGTCATAGCATCTGTGGCCACTGCACAAAATCAGGCCATCCCCAAATCCCGGCACAAGTGGGGTAGATGATCTCCATGCCCACCCCTTACTGAGGAGTTATTGACAATAGATAGCAGTCAAGGAAGGAAGAATCATTCTTTATTGAGGATGTGGCCACTGCTGCATTTTCCATGCTGCAATGAATGACACCACATCCATGCACATACAAGCAGTACTGACCATTCTTAGTGTAGTTACAAATAAATAAATATAAATAAATAAATGAATTTTGCAGTTCAGAGAAAGGTGTATTGAAATGTATCTGCCAAATCTGAGTAGGGAATTAGGTAATGTAGTTATGAACATACTTTATGTATGTGTGTGTGTGTGTTGTGTGCATGTGTCTCAAAAATAAAGATAAAGGAGATTTTACAAAGGGAAAACAAATGCTTTTTTATATATCTTTCTATATATAGAACCTATTCAGAGAGGGACCTGGAACTGACTTGTGAAGCAACCTTGTTTCTAATTTAAATTTAAATTTAAAAAAAAGAAACCTTGTTTTCCACCTTTTTTTTAAGTAGCAGGCTTCCTTATGGTATTTTCTTACATCTTGTGGATTAGGTAGGAATGGGAAAACCAGAGCACTTTGTAGCCTGTAACTGTCACTGACACAAATGAGGTAAAATAGCAGTTAAAAGGCCTCAGCTGAGCAACAGCTGCAGTCAATGCCTTGTTCTGGGTAATACAGATTTAGGATGGACCCAATGTGCCCTGAGGCTATAGTGCATTACAGTTCCATTGAGGATGCTAACAGTGTTGGAGCAAATCTATATCAAGAAAAGTAGTATCCCCCATGTGCTCTGATTTCTTCATTCTGTGCTATGAACCTTAATTTTATGGGAAATACCTATTAGAGAAAATATAAAGACTAAACAGCGTCATAGGATCAATAGAAAGAAACACTATATTCACATATCAGGACCAGAAAAAAAATTCTGAAACAGAGAATGTGATGGGACCTTGACAGGTGTGAGATGGGACCGCTGATCCATTGACTGTTCACTAACTGGGAAAGACATGTTCGAAGTTCAGGTTTTGATCCTCTTGTATATAAGCATTTAGCTAAAATCCAAGCTAGATCCAAATCTGCAGTGAATGTTTAGCCCATTGCTTACCCAGCTGACAACCTTTAATCAAATGTAAATGCCGTAACAAAGTTGCTTTTGTTGCCTATGTGTGTTCAACCGTATTCAGGCAGAAGAACCATAATGAAGAGTTGAGGTATAACGACATCTATCCATCAAACTTGTGAAGATATCTGTAGATATCTCAGACCTTATAGCCTTTTAGTTTGTTAAAATTGTTTTATTCACATCTTTGAGGAATACTTTTTAACTAATTCAATCTCCATAATTTTGTATTTGGCTCATATTTATTATAAGTTTAAAAATGCTCCGTTTGAGGAGCTGGAGAGATGGCTCAGCCACTAAGAGCAATGCCCGCTTACATCTGTCTGTAGCTACTGTCCCCATGGACCCATGCCCCCTTCTGGCCTCCCCTGGCTCCGGGCACGTACAGGGTTCACAGACATGCAAGCAAAACAAAAACACTCTTCATACTCGTGAAATGAAATGGTACTTTGAAAATGTTTGCTTTGAATCTGTCTGTTCTTCCCATCTCGTGTCATAGACACTCCCATGCTCTGTCATTTGATCCCAAGTTAATTTGCTAGCAGCCATGACGAGGGTCTCAGACTTTTAACTTTGTAGCAACCATATTAAAACAACATGAATACTAGTAGGTAAATAAACAAATAAGCACAATGTAAACTTATTGCGTCTTATATAATAAAGCCATTGGCTGACAGGCAACACATGCTAAAATTGGAGAGATTCTATTTTAGAAATGGAAAGCGTCCTGGTGCCCTGGTCTCTCTCTCTCTATCAAGAAAGTCTTTGTTGTTTGGGGCTGGCATGAGGCTTGCTGCTGAAGGTTCCACGTTATCATTTTATACTGTGTGTGTTGTAGAGTAGGGGGAAGATGCCTTATGTCTTAAGGGTTTCAAGCTTGATTTTAAGTTACACCACAAAGAGTATGTTATCTGCTGCCATTTGGAGCCATTTTGTTCATACATTTTTTTAAGTTGCATTAACTTAGGACCTCATTCAACTGAATAATGCTCTAAGTCTGAATTCTAAAGTTGAAATTGTTATCACCTTTCACCGGGCCAGTCCAAAACATTTAAATGTTTTTAAGCATGTCATATGTTTGTTGTGAGAAGCAAAACACTAACACTAAAATGTAATGATTAAACTTTTTGTAGCTGACTTCTGTACTCTTGACATGTCCTTCTTCTCAATCATATTATTGTGTACTCTTTTTTATTATACTTGGGATATTTTATCTATACCTGCATTCTTGGTGGTCTCCATGACAAAAAGGCAGTACTAAATTGTTATTTTGCCATCCGTAGTAGGGGGTGTTTTTCCATGATTAGAATAAAGCAGAGGTTGAAAGGCATGAGAACTTCTCTCTGACCATCTGAAGTATCTGGCTGAGGAAGGAAAAAGATAAATGTGTTGTTTTCATTGTGGGATAACAGAAGAATATTTATTTGTCCTGAGAAGCTGTCCCACGGGTAACTTGAGACTTTGCAATGAAGCAATTGCATGCATGAATCTGAAAAGTTCATTGCAGGGTTTATATCAAACAGCATTCCCTGACAGTTAGAAGAATGGTCATTAGGGTCCCTGCTATTCCATATGTAGAAATGCTTCGCACAGATAACAGTGTAGCCTTAATGAATTACTATGGATGATAACACAAGTGACCTCCTTTACTAAATTCTGACCATGACAGCAGAGAACTTTTCTCTATATTAGTTCCTTTAATCCCCGTGCTACATTATGAAGCTGTATTCATCAACCCTGAATTTCAGACAAAGGGACTGAGAACTGGAAAGGCTTAAGGTGACATAATCAGAGTTTCAGTGCTGGCATTTAGCTTGGCTTTTGTGCCACCATGTCTCATAATCGCTTCACAGCCTCATCCTTTCATCCAATGCATGCTTGCTGACCGCAGGCCCTGTAGGAGGCTCTGTTCTAAGAGCTGTGGCCACAGCAGCAAGGTCACCTCCCTCCTAAGCCTCACCTTCTGCTGTAGAAAGTAACTTGTGAACATTCCGTAAGACAGAGGCTACGGCTTATTGTTATAGAGTTTTTGGAATATAACTAAATATTCACAGAATCCATCTATCATCTATCTATCTACCCATAGACAGAAAACACATGCACACACTTTTTAAATCTTATTCATCATGTTACCTATGTATTTTAGACTTTGTAGATTCTGAAAATTAAAAGAAGTGTTGTTTGGTTGTGCGCCTGGCCTTTAATGGCTAAGCCAACTCTCCTTCTTGGTCTCTATTGGGTCCCTCCCCCCAGAGCTCTGGGAACCCCACAGCAGAGGGGGAGGAGGAACTGTGGGAGCCAGAAGAGTTGAGGACACAGGAGAGCATGGGGGAGAGCAGGGTCTGCCAAATCAACTAAGCAGGGGACATGGGGCCTCACAGAGACTAAGTTAGAATCATGTAGCCTGCATGGGTCTGTGCTATGTCCCCTGTATATATGTTACAGTTGTTGGCTTGGTGTGTTTGTGGGACTCCTAAAAGTGGGAGTGAGGGTGTCTCTGATCCCTTTTCCTGTTCTTGGGACCCTTTTCCTCCTGCTGTGTTCCCTCACCCAGCTTTGCTGTGAGGGTTTGTGCCTGGTCTTATTTTATCTTGTGGTGCCATGTTCAGTTGTTACCACTGGAAGGCCTGCTCTTTTCTGAGAGGAGATGGGCAGGGGGTTCTTGGAAAAGTGGAGGGAGGGGAAGCTGTGGTCTGCATGTATTACATGAGAGAAGGATACTTTTTTTAAATTGTTAATGATAAAACTCCTTTTAAGGGTTCTGTTGAGTGTGTGGAGTAGCAGAGAAAAATACCTCCTTTAGAACACACTCAGATACTCCCAAAAACCTCCCACAAGAAGCTTAATTGTTTTGTAACATAGATTGACAGATCCTGCTACAGTTAGAATACATGTTGCAGCCGAGAAATCTCATTGTGAACAAGAAAATATTGATACCCTGTTTTCTGCCATATTCTAAATAGCAAATCCTTCCACAAGAATAAATTAGTATAATTTTGAAGAGAATGACATCAGAGAGTATTTTGTTAAATGCCACATTTTATCTACATAGAAAAGATATAATTTTAAGTTTCCCTGATTGGAAGCTAAGATTTTGTTTTAGCCAGAAAAAAATGTCAGTAAATTCTATGAAACATGTTGCATTATTTAAAGTAGCTGTTTTGGTTTTCAGCAGGAATGGTTTTGATACATAGTGACTTGATGTGTGTCTTTCTCTTTTTTTCCCTTCTGAAGTCAGTTGTCTAAGAGGAGGGATCACTAGCAAGCCAACTAGCTGTTCACTTTAGATGCTTATGTTGCTTTTCCTAGGGGGCCTTAATGCTGGGCCCTCATATAACCAGTGCAAACTCCTTGGATATCTCTCATTTCTTTAGAAGGTGGAGTGGATTTACAAGGCCACCAGCTGGATATGCAAATCCTGCCCGACGGCCCAAACAGTGACGTGGACTTTTCAGAGATTCTTAATGCAATACAAGAAAGTAAGTTTCACTCAAATTTTAAATTCACAAGAGGAAAAAGTATTATAATACTGGGCAAGGAAAAAAAGAACTAGTAGCTTAGATGCTTCAAAACTCAAGACTAATCAACCTATGTTGTAAAAATGATACTGGAGAAAATAATTTTGAGACAAAAAGAGACACTGTAATTGGAGTTAATTTATGAAACTGAACCACAAGATATTGGGGTCTTTGGACAATTCTATGTTTACAGTATAGCTTCAGATCAATTATAACCAAAGAAAAATTCATTTTTAGCAAATCTAAATATTGTTCTTCTGCTCCAGTGCAGAAGAACTATATGTTGGCCCACTAAGCCCAAGTCAAAGCCATACTGTCTAAAACAAATCTGTGGAGACATCAATGAAGGGTCATGTCCCTGAAGTGAGCCCCTCCTTTCTGCACAAATTGATTATCCGTCAGAGGGCTCCCCTTCCACTATTGTCTTCTGTAATTGTCACTCAGAATCCTATTTTAATCAGCACATTTGCTCAATTGCAGATTAAGCGCTGAGCAAATTATTGCCACTTGTTTCATTAACAGCAAATTTTCGATGATGACATCAGTTGTTTTCAGATGATGCTGAACTGGAAACCTTTATATTTGAAGAGCATTTCAGGAAAAACATCTGCATTTTTTTCTACTTTTAAATTAGAGGTATTACATTTTTTGTACCAATTTCTTTCTGTGTATGTGCCTATGGGGATTAGACCCAGGGCTTTTCGAATACCAGGGAAGTGCTGTACTTATAACCTCATCATGCTAAATTTCTTATGAATATTTCTCATCATTTTGTAGTACTTTCCCCATCGTTGTACTGTTTTCTTTATTTTATAAGATAATGGTTTAGTACTCTTTGTGGCATAGTTGAAGGTGGGGAAATTAACAAAGAATTAGGACAAACATTGGATGCCAGATTAGAATGGTGACTGCTATAGCCTTCATTTATTCTTTCCATGAATGAGTTCTGTTCTGAATTTAAACATGTTGAGATGCAGATGAAGCTATATTTGTCTCATTACAGATGGTTGTGAGCCACCATGTGGTTTCTGGGAATTGAACTCAGGACTTTTGGGAAAGCAGGCAGTGCTCGTAACCACAGAACCATGTCTGCAGCCCCGAAAGAAGTGGTTTTAGTTAAGAATATATGAGGACAAGTTATTTATTCTAGATGGTCAATCCTTCATATTAGCTAGTGAGTACAAAAGAAAACGTTTCCCCAGGAGGATGAAAAATCAAATTAATAGACAGGGGACAGAAAATGGCTTTTCATGGAAAGTTATAAATTTATATAATTATTTCATTTGATATGAAGAATGACAAATTGTACAGTTCTCAAAGAATTAAAAATAATGTCTCCACTGGCAAAATTTGGCTCCATATAAATGCTGGAAATGAACTTAATCAATGTGTTTTTAGAACTGAATTAACCTGCATCAAAATGAAGTGAGAGTTTATAAGGAAATAATTTTTTACAGTAATTGGTCATTAGTAGACCTCAGTTAAAGGTGTCCATGTCTAATGTTGCTAGCTATTGCTAGTTTAAAATGATTTCATCTTTATGAATATATCTTACGAATAGAGGAATACAAATTGCTGCTGCACATATTTACAGGAGTTTAAAATAAGATCATGGAGAGTTGCTGGAGAGATGGCTCGGCAGTTAAAAGCACTTGGTACTGTTACAGAGGACCTGAGTGTGCTTCCCAACACACGCATGGTAGCTCATAACTGTCCACGACTCCAGTTCCAGGAGGCCCACAACCTCTTCCTGAGAGGGCAGGCAGATCCCTTGAATTCCTTTGTCAGACGACTTCCCTGCCACCTAATGTTGCTACTGTTTCTCTTTGAGAGCAGGAGCTTCCAAGGGCTTAATGTTTACATAGAAGAACCAGTGAGGAAAGACTAACTTCCTCATACCTCTCCCTCCCTCTTCTGCAGATGCAACACAGCTTCTGCCACAGTAGAAGGAAGATGAGGAGACAGTTTCATTGATCTGGCGCCTCCTTGCCTTTCTGTGACCCCCATTTACTGCAGAAGGTTCTTAAGCTCTAATTCTAAAAAGCTGATGTTTTAAAACAGCATTCCTAAGACAATTAGAAAAAGAAAAATAACTTTCCCAGCATGGAGAGGGCGTTCACCATGAAAGCCCCACCCATAACTGAAGAGCTACCAGCGTTTGTCAGCAGCTGGGAAAGGAGGAGTTAGTTTTCTCTAAGATTGCAGCTTCTGGTATACCAACTAAGCTCCAGTGGAAGGTGTGCACTCGAGGACATGTGGGCAATGCAAATTGGACCTAATGAATTAAAAAAATAAAAGAGCACACAAATTAAGTGGATAGGGGAGGAGAGTAGATATGGAAGGAACTGAGATGTTGAATACGCAAAACATACACATAATTCCCATAGTAATAACACATATGTATGTAACTATTGATATGCTGACAATTAGCTGATTTTTTTAATTTTCAGATAAATATTGAGATCTCCTATCTGCTAGCTCCAATGTCAGTCTTCTCCATGACAGAAAACACAGTGCAGACATAAAAATAGATTTATTATAAACAGTCTGGTGTTAAAATTGAGACATAAACCATCTTTTTCTTTTTTATATTCCCACTTGCTTCTCAGAGTGTCCTTCTTTATGATTCCTCGTGGTGCTTTGAGATCAGTGGGAAATGCCTTCAGAATCCGGTGTTTCAGATGTAATAATATGCAATTTATGGCAAAAATAGCATAGTGACCTGGCACTCTGCAGAACAAATATAGACAGTGGGATTGTGCTGCTGGGGCCTCTCACGGCTTCCTCTAGGACCTATAATCTCGCCTTGCTTTGTCCCCAGCGCAAAGTGCTAGGATTAAAGTATTGCGGTGACAACATGAGGTTATCCTAATGCATTTGGAAAATTAAAGTACACTGAATTGAGTTCTTTGATTTTTAACCCCCCCCCACTTACTTTTAGACTGTTTCTCAAACACACTTACTGTTGGTTGTTTTAAACATTGCTTTTATAGCACTGTCTCCCAATGTCATCCTCTTGCCTGAGTGAGTAGACTCTCTCTTCTTGCCTCCTCTACCACCTAACGCTAAATGCTGACTCAACAAACACATGGCTCATAACTCATAATTAGTTAATCTGATTATTATCCTTGCAATATATTTGTGATCTCTTTTCCTTAGAGAATTAATAATCACTAGCGCCAAATGCCGCAGATGACTTCCCCTAGAGAAGCAGTTGAAGTAACTGTAAATATTTGATGAGTGCAACCATTATCTTTCTCATCATATATAGACAGCCTCAGTCTGCCTGATAAAAGGTCCAGGATATCCCTGGTCCTCTGGTTTTTCTTCTCTGTCCCTGCCCTGGCTTGGAACAGAAAGAAGCAGTTGTTCAAAATTTCCTTTTGTGGACTCAGCCCCCATAGCTGGTATTTTGGTTTCCCAGGCAATTTGAGATCCTTGACTCTTGTTCGGTTACTGTATGTGTCTCTGACACTCTGTTGCTGACCACCCCCCTTTTGAGCTGCATTTCTAATTTCTGAAATAGAGAATCTTCTCAGTAGCTCCCTTGCTGCCCAAACAGACCCAGCCCACCTGCCCTCACTCCCCTTGCTGTACGGGTCTGTTCACACAACTCTTAATCAGTTTGACCCCTGCTGCTGATCCCTGACTATGATCCCATTCAATTGTTGCACTCCCCCTCCCTCTTGTTATTTTTAATTGAGTCCCCAGAGCATTTTGGCTCTCTTCCTCACTTAATAAGCCTAATAGCAGAATTCTACTATGTAGATGGTTATCAAATATTTTCTGTTTGAGAAAAAACATTTAAGGGAGGTGTGAAATCCATTATCAAGTGATCTTATATAAATGCATGTCATCTCTGCGAGGTTCAAGCCATGGATGGAGAAGCCTAACTCCCACTTGAGATGGAGCTCTCTAAGGCAAGGGTCCATGCCCCTGATGTTCAGTGCCTCAACCCCAATCCCTAAGCTAATATAGTACCTAGACATAGTAGGTACTTAAAATACTTGTTGAACAAATAGATTTTTTAATTGGTAAATTTTGTAACCTAAGACTTAAGTTTCTTCTTAGGAGATAGCATAAGTTTGTATATAGAGTATTGCATTACTTTGTTTCTAAAACCTGCCCTGTAGTTAGAGATTAAAATATCAGGGGCAATGCTGGCATGCTGCAAATCCCCCTCCTCTTTTTCTCTGGAGGGTATACCTGGCCACAGTGTTCCCCTGCTTACATGCTTAGGTGCACATGCTCTCCCTTGTTCCTACTTCATGGCTGGCTCACCCACACCTCTGCCAACAGGGTCAGCTGTATTGTGCTGCCCAGGTGGTGCAGGGCTCGCTCTCCTGAGTGTTGCAGCTGCTGGGGGCAAGGGCTGCCCTTATGATTCCAGGGATAGCTATCCCCCACTCATGCCACCCATGCAACCCATCATTTTTAAACCTAAGTTCTTTTATGTTGCTCAGTTACCTTTACTCTGTACTCCCCATCCTGCCTCCTCGCCATCTAGCTGGTGACTCTGCCTTTCTTCTTCTCAGACTCTCTCTGTTCCCAGACGTCCCGTCTACCCTCTTCCTGCCTAGCTAATGGCCATTCAGCTCTTTATGAAAGCAATTGCAGAGACACATCTTCACATAGTGTAAAGGAATATTCCACATTTCCCCTTTTTGTCTAAATAAAAAAGAAAGGTTTTAACTCTAACACAGTAAAACTATATACAATAATAACAATTATCAGCTAAGAATAATATTTACCATGTCCAGTCCATTTGCATTTGGCACATTTAGAGAAAATATTCCATTATCTATCATATCTTAGTCAAAAGTTTTATACCTAAACCATTTTTGTCATAACTTGTATTACCATCCTAAAAATATCATTTTAGATCTTAAAACATCTTTTTAGATACACAACTTAAGCTTTTATGTTTATCAATCATATAAACTTTACGTTTCTTTATTTAG